TCTTTTTATACCCAATCATGTTGTCAATTGACCTAATTAGTGTTAATTGGTCTTCCAGCTGTTCGTTATATGCTCAATTTCCTTTTTCCAGCCACTTATTGCTACTTGTTCCAACTTTTTTTGGGATTTATTGACACTGTGAAATTTTGAATCAACATATTTTTCCTTTAAAATGTTACATTTACTCAGATTAAACTTTTGATCTGTCATCTATGTTATATTACGAATAAAATATTGACATTTGCCATCTCCACATCATTGCATTCAGTTTTTATTCGCAATTTGTTTAGTGTCCCAACTTTTTGGAATCCGGTTTGTATAACATTTGAAAAGAAAAATAAATACTTTTCATTTACTTTGACTTTGTTTTTTGTGTTTTATTCTTAGTCATCAAATATTCCTTCTCAGCAGCTTGTCTTAAAGATATTCCAAAACATTCTGGTGGTTTTGGGAGAAACATCATGCTGTGAGACTGGAAGTCGTCTTAAAGCAGCTAACAAACTATTAGCATGATGCAGTCCACATGTTTTACGCCTTGTATTTGTACTATCCTTCACATGTTTGAAAATGACTGGAAATCTGCTAAAACTAGCCATTTTTTATTGTTGGCAATAAATTAAATAAAACATGTTTTATTTTAGTTTTGGTCAAAGCCTGAAGAACTGCTGCAGAGGTTAAAAAAAAGAAAAAGAGACACATGTGGCCCCAGAGCTGCAGCTTGCAGACCCCTGGAACAGGAGGAGGAGGAGGAGGAGGAGGAAGATCTGTTATTTTTGTTATTGACCAAGGAGAAATGTATTTTGTAATCTTGTCACAAAGAGACCACCACCAGTTCTAACAGATGATGCAGTAACTTCTACTATTACTACTACAACTTTTTGTACTAATTATTTTAATTCCTACTACTAGTACTATTATCAGTATTACTGCAGCTGCTATAACTACTATTATTAGTACAACTACTGTTACTGCAACAATTAGTATTATTATTTTCATTACTAGAACTATTATTACTGCAAAATTATTACTACTACTACTAGTACTATTATTTTTTTAATTCTACAATTATTAGTACTACTACAAAGTAGTAGTATTAGTATTACTATAACTACTACTACAACTATTAATAATACAACAATTAATACAACTACTTGTTACTTCTATTATTACTACAATTACTAGTACTACTACAATTATTACTACTGCAACAATTAGTGCTGCTACTACTATTACTACTACAACGTTTTGTACTATTATTATTATTATTCATTCCTACTACTAGTACTATTATCAGTATTACTGCAGCTGCTAGTACTACTATTAGTACTAAAACTACTAGTACAACTACAACTATTACAATTAGTACTATTACTACTTTTACTACTAGTTTTACTACTACAACTTTTAGTACTCTTATTATTTTTATTCCTAAAACTATTAGTACTACTATTATCATTATTACTACAGCTATTAGTATAACTATTATTACTGCAATATCCTGATGCATGCTCAATACATTATTACTACAACTTTTCGTACTACTACCGATGTTACTACTACAACTATTGTTACTACAAGTATTAGTACTTCTACTAATATTATTACTACAG